GAGAGTTATTGACAGCTTAGCGAAATAAAATTACTTGTTACTAGTCACAAACAGGTTTGCCAATTGTTCATTCAATTTTTCTGACAAGTTTCAAAATACATATTTAAATGTGATCATTCTTATCGATTACTTATCGTAAATCACATATATATATATATATATAAATCTTATTAAATATTTGTTAAGATATATAATGTATACAACAAAAATATTAAAAATAATTAAGTATACATATTTTTTTTATAAAGGCGTATATTAAATAAAATTCATAAAATAATTTCTGTTTCATTTAGTCATAGCCAACATTGAAGAATGTTTTATTTATTTCTTATTGGGATATTATAAGATAATAATTATAAATAAAATATAAAAATCAAATATAATCTACATAAGAACCAAAAATTTATTTTAATACTTATTAACTTAAATTATAATCACTATATTGTAGAAGTAGTTAGGGAGTTAATCTAAAAATATGTAAATTGTTTATGTTATTTAAGATCTCTATTAAAATAGATTTCGTACATAATTAATTTTACGTGATTACAATACTTGTAGATAAGAGTTCTGTACTATTGTTATTTCTTAAAATTTATGTCTCCATTTAATCAGTATCATTCTATTATATAAAAAAGTATACATCCCTATAAATGTTTATGATAATTTACAGATATTATCACATTTTTATGCATAACAACAAAGTAGCCAATATTCACAGCATTTACCGTATATGAATATCAGCAATATCTTTTGATTCTGCTTGTAGTCAAATGATATACTTATAGATGAAACTATTTACAATACGAATCTATGATTAATAAATTTCTGCCATAAGTAATAAAACTAGAGATGTCCAACCAGTGAATGGATGACTACCTTTTGCTTCTCCATGAACATCTCCATAATTTTCCCATACGTATCCAGTTTTCTTATATTGCTTAATAACGTTTTGTATTAAATTCTTTCTTAAATTCTGATAAATTTTTCTTGCTTTGTCTTGATATGGACCTTCAATGTTAGAATAGTAGTGCGTTGCTCGTACTGTCAAATAATTCAAATTCATCCAAATAGCTCCTCTCCAGTAAGGACCATCGTGTTCAGTATTATATTCCATGTAAAGCGGTGATATCTTTGCGAGTGATCGTAAGCCATATTTAGTCCACAATAGGTCAGGATTGGTTAAATCCTGTAGTACTTTGCCTAACTGTGGAGAACTGGGATTAATAATTTGTAAAATAAATGGAAATAACGAGACATATCCGAAAGAAGAATCAATGTATCTTAGAGTTGGATCTTCCATTACAACTCGTATTGTTTCCGACGGTTGTAGATGTGATCTTGAAGACGGAGTTACTTTTCGTAGAATTACTTTATCTGTATGCAATCCGAAATCAGCATACGTTTGTGTACTTGGTGACCAATGTAGCTTATTTAATAAACTATTATCAGATAAGTACTGATAGGTCTCTTGATATTTATTATTAGAGTGACTTAACATTTCGCTGATCTGATGCATAATATCAGCTGCAAATGCAATCCAGCAACGTAAATCGACATGTCGTTCATCGACATTTGGATGAGAAGCTCTTGGATAATCATCTAATCCAGATGTGAGCGTTTTTGGATTTAATTCTTTATTAGTTGTTCCATCTCTACCTCTCCATCTATACGTACTTGATATATCTCCAATTTGCGTAGTATTAAACCAATTAAACCATGTCTGAAGACGAGGGTACAAATTATCAAAAAATTGGAAATGTTTTTCTAATATCTCTTCTTTTTTGTGCTTAAGTATAAAATGCAATGTTAAAAAAAATGTAGGTGGATTTGCATTTGTATTTATTTGAGTTACGAACTCTTCTGGAACTTTCGCTAGAGCTTCTTGACCCAAAATCATTTCTCTCGGAATCCATCCTTCGACGTTCATTAAGTCGAACCAATGATTTATAATATCTAGTTCGATTTCTAAATCCCAAACTGATATAAGCAAGCCATGAAAACCTTCGTCCCATAGAAATCCTCGTGGAAAGAAGCTTCTACTAGGTACAGCAGTATATAAAGGTGCTTTCCAGTAAGGCACAGGACCTTTAGTATATTGACTTTGAACTTGTGAACTTCCATAGAAGTAGCCTATAGAGCCTATCATATTCGATAGCGTCATTTTTGCAAATTTAATTTCTTCTTCTGTATAACCCTTCGACTTTAATTTAAACACCTTCTCAAACTTGTCATCAAATAATTTTCGGTGTGTTTCTAAAGTACGGTCATAATTTTGACCAATTAATTTGTTGACTCTGTTAATAAAACTACCTGATTCATAACTAATTTCAATTTCAAAAGGAATTTTCCCTGTTATTTGTGTTGCAATAAAATTTGCATCTCTTCTTTTTCCATCTACCGATAATGGTATTTGTTCACCTGCTAGAACTATGTATTCCTTTGATGATCCTTTATGAAATGCTATCCTTAGATTTTGGAGAACTGTTTCTTTCAAGGCATTTAAGCCAGGAGCAACAGTTGCTAGAAAAGAATGCTCCTCTACAGTTCCATGTATCATATTAAGATTTATAGTAAACGAACCTAAACCTTGAGTATTTCCCTCTACACCTGTTAACTGTTTTTCATCACCAAGATTAACTTTAATCCATCCTTTAACATTCTCTTCAATGGCAGTATAGAAAAGTAATGAAATTTCTTCACCATCTCGTATCTTATCCTTAGAAGATACAGAAATTCTTGCAGTCCAATCTCCACCATGTTTACCACCAGGTCTTTTAACAAATGTAGTAGTTAAAATAGCTGAATTATCCACTATTTCTTGAACACCAAATGTTCTTCCATCATGCTCCATCCATGCATATCTAAATATAAATTAAATAACAACTATTATACAAAAAGTTGTCAAAATAGCATTGAATGAAATAAATTTTATTCACCTATCTAGTCTATCACTTTGTTCACACCAATGTCTAAGGCCACTTCTATCCTGACGCAATAAATGTGGGAAATACCACATCAATCCTGTTATTAAAGAATGTGGATCTCGAGTTTTTAATCCAAAATAAACACCTGATCTATAGGTACCCCAATATCTGTCTGCAACATCCAATCCAGAGGCTGTAACTAGCTATTTTTCATAAGTAAATAATACCATTGTTAGTTTTGATAGAATTTTTGTATGAAAGTAAAGATATTTTTAATAACTTAGTTGAAACAAAATAATAAATAAAAATAAAAGTTTACCTTACCTTTTTTACATCATATGGAGTATTTACTCTTGTTTCTAAGTATCCTCTATAACTGAACCAAACAGCAACAGCAATGCATAAAACCATAACTGAAATGTTCAATATGGACATTTTAAATTTACTTTCTTTTTTTGAAATAACAGATTTAGGTTTTGATTTTGTAAATTTATCTTGCATTTTATTTTTTGCCATTCTATGTACCCTGAAATAAATCATAAATATTATTTTCTGGTATTTCCATATTTATAATTTCATGGATTTGCAAACATAAATCATTAAAAAGATAATATGAAAACGTGATAATAAATACCTTAATCAACAATAAATGTGTTTTATTGTAACAACAATAATTTCTATTGATATAAAACAGCAGTGAAATTAAACAATAAATTAATTCTCAATTCATCCCTATACTCGGTATATTTGAATTCTTACAGGTTATATTTAATGATTGCTTTATTAGATACTAAATAAAAATTGGAATATAAAACACACTTATATATTAAAAAATCCTGTGCAAAAAAGCAAAACTACAGTGCTCCCAAGTTACATCATTTATTTTTACCGACCTTATCAGTGAATGATAAAAGCATTCCATACATATTTGAAAATAATGTCACAGCACGTATAGTCATCTGAGGTTATACCTGGTAATACCATTGACTCGTCTGTGGTAATACTATGAACTGAATAAAACAATTCTGTTTAACATTTTTACTTTTATTTACCCAATAGTTGCATATTTTACAAATAAAGCATTCCTATATATACCTTTGATTAGTAGTACATATTTATGTATATACTACCAAATTGGTGTACGTTGTTTAAATTTTCAAATGGAAATATATATTTAAATAAGTAAGTTAAATGCAATTCTTTTATAAGTAGAGTTGATGTCTTTTAATTTCCATTTGAACTTTAACCAAGTACAGTAAGTGTAAAATGATTATTTAGATAATACAACATAATTAAGTAAATACATATGTATCTATCATGATCAGGAAAATGTAACATTGGGATTAGCGGTTTCTTGTATATAATTCAAGACGTGTATAATTTGTTTACATTTAGTATCTCCAATATCTTATATGTATATATATATTTATTTTTAAAAATGTTAAAACAATTATGTATATACAATATCAGCAATATATAGATTTTTCCTTGAATATTAAGAGTAAACAACAAAATATTCTCTCTCAAAATTGTAACACAAATGAAATTGTGAATAATTAATTTTTCCCTTAATTTACAACATATATTAGGTAAAATATTTCACAGCCAATAGTACACATTAACTGCAATAAACTTAAAAATGTAGCAAGTGGGACATACTCAATAAGTTTTACATAATTTCGTTTGTAATACTTTGTTTTGATAGTGAGACACTTTTAGTAAATAATATGTCTATTGTGTCTGTTTAAAAATATGATTTGTTTCTTTCTTACAATGACTGACCAAAATTGAAAGGTATAGATACAAAAATAATTAAAATATATTGATAAAGTAGGACCTTAAAAATCGTTGTTTCATGTAAAAGGCAGGTTTTGTAATATATATGTATATGTGAGCTGGCCTTTTTGATATAAAATTATAATATATAAAACTAATGAAATAAAATAATGCATATACTACAACTAATATTAAAGTACATAATACAGAAATGAGAAACATCTGTATGTACATATATAGGAATTTCATTAGCATAAAGTACGATACTAAAATACAATGTACTATTCTATAATGTATATCTTCTTATAATCTTTACTATGTTATCTTTGTTTATCAATAATTTTATAATGATAATATATCCTATAGTAGCATATATGATTCACCTCGAATAACATTTTTTATAACATTTCATTAATTCAGAAATTATCCATTTTCCTGAAATTATTCAAAATTCATTTATGAGTTAACAAATATAATAAATATACTAAGTACAATAACACTGTATCAATTTTCTACCTTTGATCTTTTTCTGTGGATTTAACAACCTATATAATCTGACAATTAATTTTGTACATTATATTGCTTTCTTCTGAGTTAATATTAATATATTACCAACAAACATTATATTATATTATTCAAAAATATACAACAAGTGGCTAAATAGTAAGATTTTGCAACTATTAAAATACATATTGTAGTTTATAAACCTTTAAAATAAAAGTCAACAATAAACAATTTTTAAATATAAATAATATTATAAACATCGATATTTTAAAAATAATTATCAGAATCATCTAAATGCTTCAAACTTGTTTTTTAATTTTTGATATTTTTTCTGATTTTATTAAATATTGTACTAAATATTAATTGACTTATCTTACTATATTTGAAGGAATATGCATATTGACATATCAAAAGATAACACTGTCAAAATAATTTATCCAAAGGTGAATCTTCAAATACATGCCTTTTTTAAATGTGCATATACAAGTTATTATGTGCAATACAAATGCACACAAAAATTTGTATAGACATTTAGAAAATGATTGTGTTTAGTAATATAATATGCTGTTTAAATTTACTTATATTCATTACTTCTTTAAAAATATTGAAAAGGTAATACTGTTGTTTTGTGCAAAACATTACATTTGATAATAATAAAGTTTAGATATTATTAGTACAGGAAATTATAATGTAATCTACAAATGAACATTCACAAAATAAATAACAAAAAGAGTTTAAAATCATAAATAGCATGTTTATATCTGTATTCAATTTATACAGGTTGTGGAGTATCTTTTTCTCATATATAGTGCTTCTAATTTTTGTACACACTTTCTATAATAGTGTGATTAAGCAAATACTGTATCTACTATAAATCTCTCTTAGTAATAACATGTCCTTTTTCTATGATCATTGATAGAATTATATTATTTCTAAGTGAAAAGAAGTGAATTTTTTTATAGTATTTTAATATTCTAGCACAAATAAATTACGCAAAAGAATGCTAACTAGTGATTTTAAATTTAAAATATGAAGTTGTAATTGCTTTAAAACATACAAATGATCAGTATAAGGATATTAAACTAATTTTAATGGGATTACAGTTGGTAATTTGTGGAATAATGGATTTAAGCAGAAATATGCTTTTACAGAAAATTAATTTTGTATTGCAATAATATTCCAAAAGATAAACAACAGATATTTATCAGATATATGAGACATGCTTTGTTTAAAAAGTAACTGCATATATATTGTAACATAGAAGTATAACAGATATTCTTATGGCCAGCGCTTACCAGTTAATATCTTTTAATGAATGTGTAGAATACACTAACATTTTCTTCCTCCTCGAATATTAGCTTAGATATTCCGATGTTAATATTGTTTGAACTCTCTTGCTTTATTTCATGACAATTGACACTGTTACAACGCAAATGGACAGACGAATCAGCACATTTTGCTGTTGCGTATCTCTTTAGAATATATTTTTGTTATAAAATATTATTTTTTTTATTTTAAACATGTAAATAAATATCTGAGAAGTAATTTAACTTAATCTAGAGAAATAAAATTATATATTAAATACAAATATTTCAATACAAATTTTGAGTAACTACATTATAGGAATATTAAGTATTTCAGTTAAAAATAAAAATGTAAAACGTTCCTTAGAAATATGCAACATGTGTTAATTGTAAGTAATAATTTACTTACAAATTAATGTATTGATTCGACTGGCCAGTTGCGTTGATTACGGTTCATTTTCTCAAACTATCCTTACTACTTGCTCGGCTAGTTGAAGCTGTACTTGATTCTCCAGGTCCTCCAGTACCTACTGCATCTCCGTTAATACTGGATCCAGCAAGAGATGCTGTCGGTGTAACTGGAGCTGAACGCCTCCTTACTTTTGTCAAAGCTTTATCTAATCGTTGTATAAACATGTCCACATCTGATTTCTTCATACCTAAAGCTGCAGCAGCAGTTAAGTATGGTACTGGATAATTACTATTATGAGCTCCCCAACCTAATTTAAATTAAATGAATGAAAAATATAATGAATTTGAAAGTGTCATTAAAATATACTAGACACACTTTTGGTCACATACCTTCAAACTTATATGAAACAATATGCTTAGTTTCTGTTGTTGTTATTACTCTTGTACCACTAACATTGCGGAGAAATAACATCAAACCTAACATTGTAACTTGTTTATTATCATGCTGATGACTTAAACACTGAAGAGTCATTCCCATTGATATAGGATTTCCTTTAGTGTCTAGCAATCTTTCATCATGTCTGGCTGCTAACTTGCCAAGTTCTTCCTTTAAATATGAATACATTTCTTTACGTTGTGTTATTAATTGTTTGTAACCCGCCATTCCTAAGCTTAGTAATGTTATCATTACATCCATAATAGAGCTGGCACTTGCACGACCTGGGTACATTTTTGATATGCGATCTAACAGATTTTTGTCAAAAGAGCCAATAATTGCACCACCAACTGGTACTAGAAAGTTTTTATCTGTGCTTTGAACGAAAGCATCGACGCGGCCCTTACGTGATGCTTCTTGAATCAAATGCATACATCTCGTACTCTGTAAGCTATTGACAAAGTATAATATAACATCTGTTCAAGTATAATATGTTTAAAATGCTATAGTACATATATAATATACATAAACATACCCATATGCATTATTTACTAAATGTGGAATGTTATATTGAGTACAAAGCGCTGCAATAGAATCAATAGAATCACATGCCCTGGGTGCAAAGCAACTAGTTGTTGTTAGCACACAAGCAACACTTTCACCTAAAGCTGCCATTTGAGATTCAAGTCTTTGCATATCTGTCTTTAATTCATCTCCAACTATCTTGGTTTCAATAACAATTGGTTCTAATCCAGCTGTGATTATTGATTTAAAGCTTGATTTTTGATCAATTCTAGGCCACAGGACATATTTGGCTCGTGGTCTATCCTGTTTAAATGTTAACATACATAATACCAAGCTCATGCCTGTAGCCATTGGTGATAGAAAACAACCTGCTATGCTTTTTACACCTGCAATGAAAAAATATTTAATATAGCACTTAGATAACAAAAATTTTAAGAGCTTTAATAAAATTGAGCAACCTTAATTTAAAATTATTTATCTTACCCATATATCGAATGACTTCAAGTACTAAAGCATTTGTTAATTTATACATTAGGCTACTTCCTGCAGCTTTTGGTTGTACTTCTTCTAAATCACTTGATCTTCCTATGCCATGACCCATTCGAAAATGTCGCCTTGCAACAATGTTCGATACGATTCTTGCTTCACGTTCTCCAACACTACAATTGGAAGGAAAATTGTTGCTGTCCATTTGTGACAGATCTGAGAGAAAAGCTTCTATTGTTGCATCATCCCAACCCTCTTCTGGCCATTTTTGCTATTTTAAAATAATTTATATTAGTAAATAAATGATATAATACAATTATATTAATATATTAGTAGTTAAATGATATCGGCAAAATGTTAATTGAAATCTTACATGTTCGATGAAGTGTCTTATAAGATTTTCACGTGCTTTTTTTGCATTTAAACCTTGTTGTACATAGGTTGAAGGAATAAGTCTTTCAGCTAAACTGAATGCCTGATTATTCATCTTCTTGATTTATTTAATTCTTTCACACACTTAGGCCAGAAATATTATAAAGTTTGATGTCTTAGCACAGCATTGCTTTTAATAATTAATATCAAATGATTAGAATAATTATTAATCTACAGATAATATGAACATGAAATGCTCATCATACAACACAAAAAAATGATATAACTTTATATAAAAATATTCTTCTATGGTATTCAAATGCATAAACATTTAATACAAAATTATATTATACTTAAATAAAAGATATTGCTCCATGAATGATTTTTATGTAAATAGAAGGTGCAACAATGTTGATGGTATTATAGAAAATAAAACAAAGTTTCCATATAAAAATGAAATTTATTAAAATGTCAAATATATGGGTACAAAAAATCATACATTACATATTATAACATGCAAAAGCTAATTACAAATCAAAAAGATATGTATGCAACTTAAAAAAATATATAAAATCACATTTGTATATCAATAAATATTCGTAACTATATTTCAGAAAAAAATACAGTGCGAAAATATAATATTACATAATTTCATAGAATATGAATAAAAATTAATTAAATAGCGAAAAATCATTAAATAACCATAAACATCAGTATCACATAAAATCAAAGAACGAACGCGCTGTTGTTTATTTAAACGAATCTAACAAAATACAACAAATTCAACATCGATATAAAGGTTATGTACTTTTATTATGTATGGATTAAAACACTATTCACAAAAAAAATGAGAAAAGAATAAATAGTTACAATATCTGAAGTTCTGTTAAAAGCTAGCAAACAATAAATAAAAAGAAGGTTGATTCGAATGACACAGTTTCGTGGAACGGTATAATAAATGATATATCATAGAATAAGAAAATGGGTTGGGCTACGATGAAATATTCGTGTGCTGGCGGTGCACTTGATGATCATGCACTACCTGACGCATTCCAAAGACTCCGAGCCGTAATATTTCATACGCGCATTTAACGGAACTTGAATTGAGCAAATATACACACGACCTGTGTCGCCGTGGTCATCGGGAATTGTCAGCAGACGACAGGTTGTTAGAGGTTATGTCGTGTCGAGGTCACCTAAATCGGATTAATTTTACGCAATAAGAGAGGATGCAACGTAATTGTTTGGCCACAGGGGACTCAGGACTGCGTTTTAATTGTCATTAGTTACACGATGTGTACCGCGGACGCGTGGAGAATAGCAAAATTTACGAATTACGGAATTTTACCTCGAATTATGGCGTTCAGGCGACAGCGGACGGACGGGTTACGCACGGCGCTACGAACGAATTCGTTCGCCGCCTTTACAGGTCAAAGTGATTCGCATACAACTTACAACTCAACTATCCGGCAGGTGCATCATTTACTGATAATTACCTTGTTACCTCCTTCCCATTGAAAAATCATCGATCATCACATGCTGATACGAAAAATGGAAACGTAGCGCAGAATCAGCGATTTTTTAAGTATGTAGTGTAATTTTATCAACTTTCTTATAATAATTTAAAAAATTGTTTAAAAATTCATTCGCAGATAGTTCTTTAAAATTATCTTAATGTCTATTAATTGGTCTTCCCTTTTTTTAGAAAAATATTTATGTTGCTTTTCTTTATTTAGTGATTGTAATACTTTATGCATATATAATCTACGTAAAATGAAAATAGGTTGTTGTAATATTATCAGCATAAAAATAGTATTAAAATATTACCTTGCACAAAATTACTTTATTGCATTTAAATCCTTTTTACTTAACGTTTGCATTTATATTTGGAAACTTTATATTTTTATAGTAACTTTATAATCTTTTATAATTTTTTGTTAAAATCTCGTAATAAATCTGTTACAATTTTACATAAACCTTCAAATCTATCGATGTAGCGTCATTAAATATTTATGACATACGCACGCATGCATGTACACACACGCGCGCACACGTACATATAGTTGTTCTCATGAATATTACGATGATATTACGTAATCACTTTCTTTCATATACGTCAATTAACAAAGATTTTCATTATTAATAGACGCTACGGAATACTAAAATCTTAACTATTTTCATCTCAACTGAACCTCTGAATCTCATCTTTGAATATTGCACATCTTGCAATTTGAATTAAATCTATTACATTGTAAATCGTATATCGTATCCATTGTCAAATTATTCACTATATAAAGAAGAAATTACTTTATTATAAATTGCAATGCATTTTCAATGTATCTCATCTATTTGTAATATTTCAGTTTAAATGAATTTTAGGCACATGTGTCATGAATAGGTTACGGATATGTTTATGTAAATTCATGTATCTATGAATATAATTGAAGAAACAGAGTCTAAACAAAGATTTCTTATGTCAAATATTATAATGATATAATATTTTAAATATTACAATATATACTATGGTAAAATTACGAGTATACATAGTCTTTGAATATGTATTTTTCATAAATACTAAATACATAAATATCCGTGGTCTAGTAATAATATTTAGTAGATGAATCAAACCTTTCATAGATTGTTTCTATTGTTCATAAAATATAAATTAATTTTTTAAATATCCAGTCTAATTATAACGAGTACTATACTTTGTTATATATTTTTGCATATTATGTACATTTTTGCACGTTGAAATTTCCTATAAATGTATAAACATATGCAGTCTTATCATGAATATATGAGTAGCCGAAACCAGCATAGGAATAGTTTGATTTTCTGCATTGGCATACCTGCCTACACGTTAACCCTATTCAGTGAATAGATCTTATAGTTTGCGGTGAGGTTCGCATTGTGGTGATAGTGTGGAATTGGTATTCGAATGACAGGTTGTCGTGCTGTGTGTTAGTATTCAAGTTAAGTAACAAGAATATTTCAAAATTATTCTGTGTCTGTATTTATATAAAACGTTGAATATAGCACTGAAAATTTCGAGCTTATTAGGTACGTTCTCTTTAAACTTCCGATAACGAATTCAATTGGCGGATACTTGATATCAATGGCTGAATAACTTTTTATCATTTTTCCGAATAACATTATTTTGCGACAATTTGTTTCTGGCTTTTATATCGATTGAACAATTTAGCAGGTGACAATTTGATATTTTAAAATAATATCATTGCAACTGATAATTATCATTGTTTCGTGACATGATTATTTTATTGTTATTTTCTGCTTTATAACTATTTGCAGTTTTTGCTGTTTACAATTTGCTTAAAAGTATATCTTTTGTATAACACGCAAATGTTTACTGTTATTAAAAAGAAATTTTAATTATGATATGTTTGGATTAATTTCATTTTTAAACATGTTTTTAATTATTGAATGATTCAGTGATACAATAATAATTCTGATGATATGTTAAGTCATAGTTTTTAAAATAATATTTTGCATAAAAATCTGTCGTGGTAAAAGATTATCATGTGCGAAAATATTTAGAAATTTATTTTATCGATAAATTGACAAATTTTTTTTTTCTATCTTTCTAGTTAATCATGGAATTGGAGAATTGTAATTCGCACGGGGATCATGTTCCTACTACACCTCAACACGAAAATGATCCCAGTGGAAATAAAAAGTGGTATCGACAAGCTAGTCAAAGGTTAGTGATTAAGATCTCGTTAACTGTATCTGACAAACGTTTAAAATTCGCTGAAGCTTGATTAAAAAATTGATAAAACAGAGTAATGTTTTGAAAAATATTAATAGAATAATAATCTTCTATCCAAATTTAATTCTTAATAATAAAAAATTATTTTCACTCCATAATTACTATCTATATACGTATATTTAATGTTTTTAAATTTGTTTATTTTATCGTATATTTTACTTATTGGAAAGCATTATTGGTGTAAATATACCACATTTTTACGTCGTTATAAGAAATTTAATTATTTTCAATAGACTAAATTATTGTTCAATTATTTTGGGCAGTGTATCATTAAATGCATACGCAATATGCCCATGAAACATATGTCGAATTCACTATCGCATAATCGTTAATATTTTATAATAAATGAAGTGCTTTATTATACTGAGAAAATTTATTTATTTATGGGAAACATAAAGGTGTAAAAATGCACATGATATATAAAAATATATAAAATATTCAAGATAATTACAATATGTAACTGATGAAATGAATGTGTATTTAGTTTTTATTCTTTTTAATTATATGTATTCATAGAAATATGAATTTGCACGAACATCTGCAGTCCACTTATTATTATCTCAGACGAGCCACCCGACTCTAAGGCACAAAATTTTACGGTATTCACAAGATCGCCAAGGCCGTACCAACAGCCTACGCATTATCAGAGGCGGCTCGATCATATTACGCGAAAATAACTGGTTTAACTTTATATATTTCCATCATGATTGTGAGTGATTTTATGGTTTTGAAAAAGTAAACTTCTGCATTTTCGCCGTTGTACCATAGTTTTTCACATTTGAACGATTACAGTTTATGTTTTGATGCTCGTTTGATCAGAATTACTCAAGAAAATCGCGTGTGATATTTTTCTATACACTTCCTTCATCCATGCTGCCGAGACTTACATAGATAACGACTGTCAAAACATCTTACTGATAACAGTATATTTCCTATTCTGTCATAAAGACTTGTGTTTTTAATCATTAGCAAGGTGGTAATATATTTCAAGATTAAAAAGCTTTTCTATCGCTTTTTATCTGTCCCGAGTTATTTGGTTCCGTGGATTAAGAATCCATCTTATTTCAAATTCGAGTTTTATTATAGAGATATTCGAGATTATTTTATACTTCAATTCCATATTAATCTTTATTCATTTATCTTCTTTGCTTTAAATCCGTAAATGTTACTTTCCAGTTATTTATTTTCTTTTTTATTGTTTCCATTATTTCATTTTTATATACAAGGTTATCTTTTTAATTGGCCGATTTCTTTCCAACATATTTTGGCAAGTTTCTTTCTAAGACGCATATGGTCTGTCATCGGTTGTATTAAATTTATATCTGGAATTTCAAATCGTTGTTAACTTTATATGACCTAATATATAACGCAGATTACGCTGCAATTTATAAAATACGCATCATAATGAATGAGTGTTATATAAAGAGTGATACAAAAAATAAAAATTCAAGTGATAAATTATTAAAATTGTAATGTTACCATCATCCTCTCTCATAAAATAAAAATCCATTTTTCCAGAAAATTTATATTTTCTCTTTCATTCATGAGACTGTAAAGGATATTTTGGTTTAATTGATTCTTGATTATATCAAATTTCTCTGTGTACTTTTCCTTCTAATCTATCATCGTCACGCGAATGACCCCTGCAGCCTTCTTATCGTCGTTGCTATTCTCGCCATATTTTCGTGTTGTTTGCTCGCGTGTAACTCGATTTGAGAATTTTCATTGAACTCAGTACGTCGTTGTCATTCGCGTTGGTAAGTTAATGAGCCGCGTAAATAACTCTGGATTTCATTCTCTGTCTCTTTCTCTTTTCCTGCGTTCTCTTTTCGGAACGTTCTATGATCGATTTTCCAACCGTTCAGTTTCAATCGATCTGTTATGAGCTGTGAAAATGTGGACGTGCTGATTACGCCAGGCAGAACTGGTAATTCTTCTTCTATTTCTATTTGTTCCTTTTATCAAGCTTACACGCATGGCGCACCGTACTGTGCGTTTTTATCAAACAATAAAGTACAATACGCTATTAATATGCTAACGAAACGTGTTTAACTGGCGAAAAGTTAACTGAAAATTAGATTTCGTGAACTTTGTTAATAATCACGGATTAAATACTTTTTATGATATTTTTCACACAATTTTACTCGCGTGACGATGTTTCTTCGACCAGTAACCAGCATTCGAATGTTCTGAAGCAGGGTGCAAAGTTCGATTCCCGGATGAGTCAAACATCTTTTACGAAGAATCCTTTTATCGATCAGTGTTTGGCTCCCCTTTAAATCACGGTATAGAAATGACCAAGAACAATTGTAGCGAACAAGACCTGGATAACTACAATGAGAGTGTCCTACGAACAGATAAGCGTGAATTAGGTCACAGGTAAATTTCTTTTCATATTTTATCATATCTACTTTACGATTGCGGTATCTCTTATAATTCATTACTCACCTGTGATTACATTACTTCCGAAAAATATTCATTACCAAATTTTATTAGTAGATAGAATATTAATCATTTTCAATGTCAGCGATGATAATTTCAGAAATGTGTGTGTTTGGAGATTTTATAGATTTAATTTATTGATGAAGTTTTTAATCATTTTTGAGAGACCAGATTTGAGTGTCGCGTTTCCCCTCGCCTCTCCCTTTCTCTCTCTCGCTCTCTCTCTACTATGACAATAATGCGCGCGCGCGTATCTGCAACGATCTGCATCTCGTCGTATAATTCCTGCAAGATGATTTAAAAGATGGACTGCTAATTTTTAAAGCATTCGATTCTTACCCGAACGTATCTATACACTAATTTTTACGTAAATATGGAAAACTTCTTTGTTCAATGCAGATGATGCAATGCTCGAGAGCATACAAGAATTTATAATACCTCTATAAATTTGAATAAAAAGAAATTATGTATATAGTACCTTTATTCCATAACTGGATAAAATTTGTATCGACGGTACATGATCAGAATTATCAAAATACAATGTGATAAGAATTATTTATCTTTATTTATGCAGACTTTGTTTCTTAAACATCCAAATATGAGCGTAGTAAATACTATTTATGTATGCTATCCGTCTAGATATCTATGATAATAAGCTAAAAACAAATTCCATCGTACCATTAGCCGATATCTTTCCGAATGCAAGATGGAAACGCTAAACATATTGCAAAATACGATATTTCGCAATGCCCCTCCATGCCTCATTAAGTCAGTCCGGTGTGGCCTGTTCTTTTATCTCAGTTCGAATGCCACGTTCCACCTACGGAAATTTCCTCTAGTCAGAGTTCTTCGCTTAACTTCTAAAAAATTACATCACTCGACTTAATTCCATATTTCATCGATTATTTCGTTTCAAGTCTTAGGATTTGAAACTTCCGCAAAGTGCAGATCTTATAATAAGACTTCGACCTCGACTAGGTTACAGAAGTGGAACTCTGATCTCGATTCAGTTTGCTCGTCTCCTTCGATCGTTCAAATACTCTTCTTCTTTGTACCGTGTGTTATGTGCCATTCACAACGTGCTTCAAGCTTCTGAGCGCCTCGGGTAGAGAAATTTGAAAAAGAAATTCGAAGAGCATAGCTATATGTAATACGTGCCTATTCTCACGTTGCGGCTATCTTGAGACAAAGAGGCAACCGTACTCTTTCTTGTATCGTGACTTATGCGAGTTCTTCGACCATATTACGTACCATATTTAGGAGAGAGAGGTCTTATGCATTTTTCGTAACCAGGTCAAATATATGCACGAGCGTTTCTTTGATACATAAAAATATGTTCCGTGTTCCATGTGTACTACGCAGTTGATTCATGTCAATGTTATAGATAGTATACGCGTCGAAGTGCGTTAGGCTTCATTCATTTAGGATTCAATATGTTCTAATAGATCCTAAGTATATCGCATTAAGGGTGCAATCTATTTAAAAAATCTTCACTAAGACATGATATACGTTAATTGTAATTTTTACTATAATATTAATTAGTAATAATTACTATAATGTCGCAACGCCGTACATGTATGTCATATTATCAGGTGCAAGTCGTTGTTCGAACAAAGCAAAATGCGACTGAGAAATGCGCTTTTAGTTATGTTTAGAATTTAATTTTAGCTGGCACATCTAACTAAATAAGTAGACGAACGCGTGCACGCGTGCACGATCGAAACAGAGATCTTAAATTCGACCCGTGTGAAATTGCTTTTTTCAATAAGAATAATAGAAGCTTGCATTGTGATGTTCCACTCGTTAATCAATTTTCTTTCTTATCAGTGATATATCGAATCATTCAATGAAGCAAAATTATCAAGGTGCGTTTCGTTATCATATTTTTTGTTGACATTCTTTTTTTTTTAATCTGTTTGTGGAAATAGAATTTTCAGAAATTCTTAAGCAATTTTCTTGACACAACGATTTAAGTACATGATATTTTCTTTTCAGTGGAAGGAGCTTATCCTATTCTATATTACATTCAGTGTTAAAATCTTTTTTTTTCTTAATTTGTTCTTAGAAGTTCAATTTTCCAACGATTCATAAGTATTTTAACTGCGGTGTTTCGTACTTCTGCTCATATAAAAGACGAAGGTTTAAATAATTTTACAGTAAAATAATAGTAATATAGTATATTAATCTTTTATCAAAGGTATGTTTGCAATAAACATCTTGTAATTCCTATGTGCATCCCCAATGTTTCATTTTATTAATTAAATTTTACTGTTTGATACTCGCGATATGTTATAATGGTAAAATAATATTTTAAAGAATTTCGTATAAAATACATAATATATTCATATACATTATTTTATGATAAGTGTCCAGATACTTTCGTGAGTTACTCTACATGATGTTGTACATTTTGTGTCGATAAAGTGATGAAGTGAAAACATCTATTACTCAAAACGCAAATGTATTATATTATGTAACATATATATATATATAATACCTGGCGCGTAAAATGTTTCATTTGCATTGGAATGTAGTAAAACTTAAAAACAAAGTATCTAAGAAAAGAGATGTTTTCTCTCTTTATGCGTTATTCGTATCTATTTAAAAACATAATTTCCTTTAATAAGAAATTTGTCCCGCCTTTACGAGGAATTTCTTGTCTAGATTTTGAATTTTCTAAATTGATTAGTCACATCATTTCCGTTCGCTAACTCTGTGGTGATGGTGCAGACAGTGAATAAGTAGAGTGAAAGTGTGAACGATGCATAGCTTAGCAGAAACACATATAGGTACGTGGATCCTTGTACAATGCTTGACCGACTTAACCGAAAGTCGATAATGTGAAACAACCGGCAAAAGAAATTCACATTAGAACAATTAAAATCTGCGTTGAATTACATTGACCTTAAACCTTCATGGTGGTCGAGAATTGAAGGGTTCATCGCATAAACAATGAGATGTTATATTTTCCAATCTTTCTAATAATAACACATTTTATAGAAATATAGATGTTAGACTCACAACATAGTCGGATTAATATTATAAAAAATAATCGATATAAGTAATTAATTAATGTGTAATATTTAATGTACGTAATGTAATATATTTAATGCGATAAGCAGTTGCGTAATATAATGAATATTTCATTAAAAATAAAAATTTTACATTAAAAAATTTTAACATTAAAAATAAAATATTCAGTAAAAATAAAAAATTTTCTCTTCTGGAAAAAGACAAAAATTGATGAAATATGAATTCTTCAATTAACTCACAAGAATAAAAATCTTCGATTTTAGTCGTTCTAGAAACGATGCAACATGTTTTCCCATTATTTCGAATAACATATTTCTTCATCTTATGAAACACACGAGAAATTCATTTCCTACGATATTCTTCAGCTACGATGATTAACCAGTTGGAATTTCTTAATTACGGCGCTGTAGTCCGTATACAATGCTTTATCTATAGTATACAAGATGCTTTATCTAGAGTATACAATCTGACTATACAATCGATGAATAACTGAGACTTCCTCGAAACGTAGTAACAATTAGTGCACTTATCTATGTATGTATATATGTATATATATATATATATATATATATATATATATATATATATATAGCGAGGATAAGATAGATCGGAAGTTTCAATAAAATGTAGGTTGCATGGTAAAGGTCGGGTCTAGATCAGTAACGAAGTAGCTCCTATATACTATGATCAACCAGGCTAACGTGACTCATGATGCATGGGTACTGGATACGGTGATGGATGAATGTACGACGTACTGTTTTGTATAGTCGTTGAGTAAGATTGTGTTTGGAAAAAGTTGAGCATGTATTTTGAATGCAGAAATATTATAATGTGTACATATCATAACACGTTCCATAAAAATGGTTTAACATAAGGTGATGATAGTCATAAATGATTGTTTGACGACAAACTCATATATGTTATTAAAAAATTCATTTTTTTTTAGAAATTAAATAACGTTTCACATTTTAACTAATTTTTAATAAAGGAGGTTTTTCAGTGTGTTGAAAGAAGGCATAAAAGATTCAATTGGTAAGGATATTTCACGTACGGATTATTTGTACGTGTTTTGAATTAGTCAAGAGATGAAATTTTTCTAAAAACTAGCCGTCAAGAAAGTTCTAGGTGTTTGATCGTGCTGGTACTCGCTATACTCTAAGCTGTGATGCTCGGATCATCCTGCTTTTTGAGATACATTTATAGATTTACTCCATAAAGTATAAATGATAGTATAGAAATACAATACATCTTGTTATACAGCATTGCGACACTCAGCAAGATAAAACAAGCATTCCTCATTAAATCTCACGTTAATTCCACATGCACAATAACGTCTATAAATTAACAGAATTATAGGAGAATTTCATGACTGATAAATATGTAAAAATTCTGTAAAATATTTAAAAAGTGATGAATGAAACGCGAAAAATATATTACTCTGAAAAATTGTTAAAATTCTTTTATTCTATCATATTTTGAAATTTATAATGAATTTCTTTTATTTATTTAAGCTTCGAAACATCGGATCATGACGAAAATTTTGTTTCTTATATTGTAAAATATAGGCGATACAGACGATGCAGCGTGTATATTAACAAACCAATAATTAATTAAGCGAAAACAATATTATTAAGATAAGTATTATTAATTACGTAATAACGATAGATGGTAGTTCATAGTTGTGTATTAAGATAGTTACTATTCATAGTTATTCCCAAATACCGGGCATCAGTATGAGGCAACATACATATGTTAATACCGAGTGTGACCATGAAATTTTAATTGCAACGATATTCATTCCTATTTTAAGTGTTTCATTATACCTACTCTACTGTTAAAGAGATCTTCGTGTCTTACTAGAACGACAACAAATGAGGTGTGCGTCCGGATTTTTGTCCGGAAGTCGATGAATCAATTGCTATCTGCGCGTATTAGCTGGTAACTCGGCAAGTCAAGGTTCAGTTAACGTTCTATCATCGTGCGGATCGGATCGTAGTTTTTAGCCACGCGGTTCTTACGTGTATTATCAGACCTACACTTTTCTTTTTATCAATTACTGTGATCATCATTTCCGTGCCTTTACGCGTGTAACATTTTTAAGAAAAGAACAGTGGTCTTTAAATTAGTGAAATCTTTCTAAAAAGAAAAAGATTGATTAAATAAAATCAGTGGATCAATAAAATTGCTAAATAATTACGACAATAATTAAGCTGAATTATCTTTCAAGTACAAACTTCAGTGATACGGTAAAGCCAACTGAAAATTGTGCATGTCAGAAACTCTTAATATTATCTACGTTAAAGCTAGATTAATTAAAAAAATGAATATAATATGACGTAATGTGGACTTAAGATATATTCTTGGTTATCAAAATTGTATCAAACGATAATTAAAACCTCTTTTTATCAAGTAACGAAACTTTAATTTCTTTTTTCTTCAGAGTTAGTATACGTGACACATGCATCACTCATAATGTATACGATCTGGTTTTCTCGTTTCTTATTGCCACCGAATTTCGAATCGAACATTTTGTTATCCGTTATATACATGATCCGGATACATTATTAAGATTGCTTCGAATAAAACTAATTAAAGGGTAACTTTCATTCCGATTTAACAGTCAAATTGCTCACTAAGAGTTCCTTAACGAATATTTATCACGTCATATATGCATTCCTAAGTTTGATCTGAATGGAACCTTTGATCTTCTTGAAAAGGCACATTTAACCGAGATAATGCGGATAAATAGCGTTCATAAAGTTCGCCGCTTTTATAAATACCACTTCTTGGAATAATGCATTCATCGCACCACTGATAACATAAATTACATGTCTCAAGCGTAATTATACAAGATTGTTTACAATTAATTATTATTTTTATGTCGACTATAGTACCGTTTCAAAGTATCCGAATGTTTAATGATTTGCTACAAGATGTATTTCAGTGATAGAATTGAGGCTAAATTTTACGCAATGATTTTATTCTTTATAATCATTATTATCATTCGAAAGAGATGAAATTCCAAAAATCATTCTTTGAATTTGAATCCATAATAAATTATCTAAAACAAAATCCATGATAATTTATTTCGAATATTCGATGATTATGTCGTAGGATATATATTTTTGAATTATTTTGCCATCTTTCTTGATATTCGTATCAACATACTGATGATTCGATCATTTTTCTATCATAATTCGTAGTGCAGGGAAAGTCAGTAAAATTCTATAGCTCAAAAAACGGATTAAGAATAGAGATCAAGAGTAGTAAAATTGCAGTGAAGACTTAACGAAGTATTCAACATAATTTTATTATTACTATTGATTTCTGTCTTGTTTTGAGCCATAGAATCTTCCTAACTTCAATTATAACACGAGTTTTATTTGTACACCCACGATGTATTCTTGTTCATTGAAGTGTTACATTATTTTTCTTATGGAAAACCGGTTGTTTGGAATAACTTATTACCTTTCCAGTAAATGAATTTTCATAGGAATAATGAAATGCAATGGATCCTTTGTTCTCTGTAATTTAACAATAGACATAATCGTCACTATACCTAATACAATTTTACAACCCCTTAAATTCTACAACTGTATCGATTGTATGAAAAAATTAATTCCGTTACAAATGATAAAACACTTTTAATAGCAGTGTTGTTTCACAAATAACACATAAACGCGTCATGACTAGAAAGGAAGCCGATGTCTCGCGTTAAACTTACGAAACGAAGGTGATATGTCTTGTTTTCGATTTAACTTCGTTAAACTTCACACGTATGTTCATTTTCTACCGATTCCCATTCTATCGAAGCTGTTATTACCGACTAACAGGTACGCATATCGATCACGAGGTGCTGATGATTATTTGAAAATAGGAAAAAATGTGGCTGAAGGATGTGCATGACGACGCCTTACTGGCTGCGAATTTCGTGAACTCGCGGCGCAGCGTCCAAAACGAGTAAGTTCCTCGTTTTTTCTCTTGTGTTAGAAATTTGTCCGTTGTCAAGATCAGTCTATAAGCTATCATCTATATCGTTGACGTAAGGGGTATAATAACATACAACTACTATTAGTAATTTACGAATAAATGTTGAGTATTATTAATATACACCAGTGTCGATTTTTATTCGCTTTTAACGTACCTCATCCAATGTTACATTGAACATTCATCATGTTTAGTGCTCCTGATAATTTCTAAAGTATCATTCTATCAAATGAACTTTAGTTATTACAAGTGGGAACTAGGCACACTTTGATATAACTTAATTAAGAGGGTAATTCATCTCAGACTCGTGAAAATTATCGGTATCATTGACAACTTTCGAAGTGAGAAGTTATAAAGTAAATCATAATTGTATTTGTAGTCATTTACTGTACATATTAGCATTACAACGATAACTCTTTAACAAAGTGACTACGCTTATTCCACAATATTATTTCTCAATATGTGTTTTTATGATTATCATCTAGCTAGGCTGTACGATTGTTACAATACGATGTATATCAGAATATAAAAGCAAAACATTTTTATCTACTATTCTATTATTAACCAAAAAACAGATACAAATATTTAAAAATATTTATTTTTGTGAAAATCGTGTAATAATATTCGTAAGTCCAATTAAACCACGTTTGGTCACATTATACAACTTCAACGCAACCATTTTATTGGAGTATTTTATTGGAGTTTATTGGACAGTATTTATATTCTTGATAATATGTATCATAGATTTATTTTATAATTTTCTTCCGGAAATGTTGTCGAACATAGACATAATTATCACGTATCCGGGATGAATGTACATTGATATTAACAGTATTTAATATAGATCGAAAATACATAATTCAAATCGATCTAGTAACATTATTATCCATTTTTTGTTATTAAACAGACTTTATGTAATCGAAAGGTTTCGATTCAAAGAATCGAAATGCGTATATTTTGCATAAATTATGTGAAAAATATCGAAGCAAAAACAAGTTGCGTTACTTCGTTAACCTTTATCATCGATTTAATAAATTATTTTTCACTGTAATTAAGTGCACCGTCGTTGAAGTTGTGAATCTTATATAAATAGATACGATTATCGATCGGATAACATCAATCACTATTTTTTAAAATTGAGTTGATGGATATAATAAATCTTTTCTCGTCTTACTTATTCAACACTTCGTCCCCTATCCTTTCTAGCATATATTTTTATAATTCTTTTGCAAATCTCTAGTAAATACTGTGTCTTTAAAGTGTATAAGATAGTTTTTATTAACAATTAAATTTTCCATAAATTTATATTTGTTATGTGCTATGAAGGAAATTAGTTTTACATTATTTTTTATGTCAAGCGTATATTTTCTTCGTAATTTTTATACAACGCAAGAATATTTGCAATCAATAAAAGCCGAATCTTTGTTAAGATACTTGCAAAGAGTAGAGATTTGATAACATATACAGAATTGACTAATATTGAAAGGTCGGTGACGAAATTCTTTTTTATTTTAAATTAAAAAAAAAAAGAAAAAAGAAAACGTTCCTATACCACAACGATAATAACAATTGAAGTGCATTATTCATAGCCTCCAAATAAATCTTTTTCTGTATGTTCTTGTTAAGAGAGCGCAGAATATTTCATTAATACGAAAGCTTTTATTTAAAACAAAAATGAATGATTCAGAAGATAAAATAGATGCAGCGAGGAGAATTAGCGATTCCGATATAGTGAGAATTCCACGCATGTCAATTTATTCAGATGAATTAGTTGCTACTTCAGAAATCTTTCTTAAGGCTCGGGAAATTGCTGTAAACAGGTTTGATGTAATTCTAAATAAAAAATAAGTCAATTTCGAAGAAATTCGATTTTCCAAATAATTTTTTTTAAATTAAAGATTTAAGGAAGAAGCTTCGTTCTTCTAAGCTCTGATATATCATTTTTATAATTCACAACTGTGACATACTAATAAAAAATATATTTTTCATATCTTCATAAATGAATGCTTTAATTCATTAAATGTGACCACGCAGAAAATAAAAAAACGAGCGATTAAAATTTATTACCATTTACTTTTGTTGCAGAATTTTTGTGAATCGTAGCCTTCATTTAGAAAATATCAAGTTCTATGGATTCGACATGGATTACACGTTAGCAGGTAAATAAAAACGTATATTATTTCTTTTATAATAATCGGATTTAAGGAAATATAATTTAAAAAATTATAAACGTATTTTTGTTACGTTGTAATATTATTAAAATATTATTTGAAATATTTCAGAATACAAGTCGCCACAGTATGAACAACTGGGTTTTACACTATTGAAAGATCGTCTAGTGTCCCTGGGATATCCACAGGAAATTAAAGCATTCGAATATGATCCCAGTTTCCCGGTGCGGGGACTTTGGTTCGATACTCTTTATGGGAACCTCCTTAAAGTGGATGCCTATGGAAACATCCTAGTTTGCGTTCATGGTTTTGAATTTTTGAAACAGTAAGTCTTAACACACAGCTTATTTGTTAACTGAGGATTATATACATATAAACATGACATATAACATAACTTGATATTGTTACGAACGTTTTATTTTGGATATTTTATATATCTTAGCGTATTATGTACATTCTTTGTATTTTTCCATCCTCAAATTTCCTATAAAGTGTATAAAAGTCCACAGTCTAGTTATTTGTAATTTGAAAAAGTAAACGTAAATTATTTAATACATTTTTCTTCGTATGTTTTAGTTCACAAGTATACGAACTTTATCCGAATAAATTTTTACAATTAGACGAGTCCAGGGTATACGTGCTCAATACATTGTTCAATCTTCCTGAGACATATTTATTAGCCTGTTTGATAGACTTTTTCACGAATTCGCCGCAATACACGCGAGAAAAGACAGGGGTAAAAGAGGGAGAGCTTACAATGAGCTTTAAAAGCATATTCCAAGATGTACGAAACGCTGTAGATTGGATACACCTTCACGGTAATTTAAAAACGAAAACTATCGAGAATTTGGACGAATACGTGAAGAAAGACAAGAGACTGCCGATGTTTCTTAATAGAATCAGAGAAAGTGGAGCAAAAATATTTCTTTTAACGAATAGCGACTATGTCTTTACTGATAAAATTATGACTTATCTTTTCGATTTTCCACATGGTGCAAAGGTATTTAATTTTAATTTATAAAAGTCTATTTTTTAATAAGCATAAGCTATTTTAAAAAGTTAATTCTTTCAAAGCCTGACGAACCGCATAGAAATTGGAAAACGTATTTTGATACTATCGTAGTAGATGCTAGGAAACCATTATTTTTTGGTGAGGGTACTATTTTGCGGCAAGTAGATACCAAAACTGGAGCTCTGAAACTTGGGACACACAAGGGCCCACTTCATACAGGTATTTGATAAAATATGTTTTTATAAAATATGAAGAATTATTTTTGTTTAATATATATTAAATTAACGCTATTAAATTAATTAATATATCTTATAAATTAATATTTCAATCTGATAAAAAAATTATAATAAAACGTTTTATGTAAAACAGGAGAAGTTTACTCAGGAGGTTCCTGTGATGTATTCACGGAATTGATAGGTGCAAAGGGTAAAGACGTATTATATGTTGGTGATCATATCTTCGGTGATATATTGAAGAGTAAAAAAATCAGAGGATGGCGAACATTCTTAATAGTGCCTGAACTGGTGCAAGAGCTTCATGTTTGGACGGACAAATGTCAATTATTTGCCGAGTTACAGAATTTAGACGTTATGCTAGGAGAAATGTACAAGTAAGAAAAAATTACTGTAATTAAGATTATAACAATTTTTATGAATCATAATTTCATTCCTTTTTTCTGTACAGAAATTTAGATAGCAGCACAAAAGAAAAACCTGATATTTCCAAGTTGCGAGCATCTATAAGGGACGTCACGCACAAAATGGATTTATCTTATGGAATGATGGGTTCATTATTCCGCAGTGGAAGTAGGCAAACCTTTTTCAGTAGTCAAGTAGTAAGGTATGCTGATCTTTATGCAGCAACCTTTTTGAACCTCATTTATTATCCATTTTCATACATGTTTCGAGCTCCTGCTATGTTGGTAAGTTAATTAAGACCTTTTATTTATTACTGTAAAATTTTTCAACTTTTATTTGATTGAATGTTTCTATTTCATATTATTAAGATGCCTCACGAGAGTACAGTTGCTCATGAACAGAGATTTGTTATGGAAACGCCAATGATTAGTCGATCTCGGACATTCAAACTTACTGATGAAGAAGAAGAAGAAAATAAACCTACTGTATGTGTTGAAAAGTTTGCTTTTTATTTTAATATTATTTATATATATATATGCAGAACACAATTTAAAGTGATTATGTTACTAATTATTAGAAAACTTTGTACGTGGATTGTCCGAATAATCAAATACCACACCCAAGGCCAGAAACTCCACGTAATGTGACGCATACCCACGATGAAGATTGTAGTGATGAAGACAGTGATTCTCAGAAACAAGCAAACCATATAAGATCGTGTACAAGGAATTCTAATTGTAAATGAATTACTTTCACTGACATTTCATTTGGTTACATTTTATTCTTGCATTCTTTTTTGACCATTTACTGATAACACTAAAGGATTTAGTAGAATCTTGCTATATAAATATCTATGTTTAAAAATCTTGATCAAATCTATTAAAATTAATCAATAATAGATCTCATTCCTTTGTTTGCATGAGAAAAATTATTGTAATTGCATTAAGTTTCCATCACATTCATAAAATACATATTCCCGAATGATTATAAAATATAATATTAATATATATAAAGGGTAAGAGTAAAAAACGAGGAATGTTAATTTTTCTTAATTTTCCATTTTATAACACATTGTTCTGATTTAATAGTTTTGTAGCCCCAGTTCTCATAAAATTATAATGTTCAAAATGTCTCCATAAAATAGCATTAAAAATTTGATGTGCTAAAAACAGAGAATATTTACTCTATACTGGAATGAAACATGGATAAAAATGATGAATATTTTATTAATTATTCTTTTTTATGATTTTTAAGTAAGATAGAAACTTAATTTTATGAACAATCCAGTTGAATTCATTGAACATTGTTCCTGCTCTAGTGGACTAAAATACTAAAACTTAATTTTTTCAATAAAGTTATTTTGTGACATTCCTCGTTTCTTCCCCTTATCATTATGGAAACTAAATTTTTTTTATTATCATACAAAATACGAGTCAAGAAGTTACAAAATATAAATTATTATAGATATCAGTGTAAATTAGTTTACACATATATATTTTTTCGTTGATTTAATTCAATATTTATTAAAATATATGTAAAATAGTACAAGGTATAACAAAAAGATTTAGGTACTCATATACAAGTTCATAAGTTAGTACAGTTGAACCTCGTTTGTTTGAACATGTCGGAGTACATAACAGTTCGGATAACCAAACAGTCCCACTAATAGACGTTCGCACGTATATTCGTTATAAGAGTAAGTGTTTATATGTATTATGAAATTACGCTCGACCATAGTTCGGATAATTGGGGTTCAGCATTAATTTCTTTGAATAAACGAAGTTCTACTGTATATTGTATATTGGACTAGAACCTATTCAAACATAATATAGTTATTCATCTATTTATATCAATAACGTATTTTTTATAAAGGACAATAGAATTGATGTTTTATTGATTATTAACAACACAATAACGTTTTTTGATTGTATGTTATTTTCAACATGAATGATTCTCGCACAAGAAATTGGCGTTTATAGAGATGTTAAATAGATACGATATTGAAGGAATATATCCTAATATTGAATTTTTCTAGTAATGTGTGTACTGTATGTTTTATAAGTTCAACCTTATACGATATAATTATAAACTCGTTATGTATTGTATATAAGTATTGTAATTATTGAAAATAGTGTAAGTTTGAGTAGTAGGCTAGCCTTTTTACATGAGATTTCAATTATACAAAAAAGAATGATATAGTAAAATCTAAAGTAAAAAAATTGACTTGAACTGTTATTCATTTTTTGCTGTATAAATTGAATGCATATAAAATGTGCTTTTATTTTTTTTGTATCTATATAGATGTATAACTTTATTACCATCAAACAAAATTTAGAAGTACAAGATTACTAAACTGTTTTACAAAAGATAAACCCCCATATTCATTATATACATATATACGAATCAAAGAACAATATAATTTGTACAACTTATAAATATTATAAACTAGAAACTTCAGTTTATGCTTTCATTTGCAAATTTCAATCGATGTAATTTATGAAATACTTCCAAAAATGGAAGTTTTACTCTTTTCTCAATGAAATAGTATATATCAATAATAATGAAAGAAATAAAAATTGTGCATTAAAATTATTTAAATCTTATGGCTAACTCAAAAATTTACTTTATTGTCAATAATGTATGTGGTTGATGAAAATATTTGACTGCAATAAAAATAAATAGTTGTATTTATTATACAATATACACATATATGTATATATATACACATTATTACCTGTGGTGCTAGATTTTTTTCACAAGGTTTTGTTGTAAATGTAAGTAAAAAATAACAACAGTTATCTAAGTGCGTAAAAGTTAAAAAATATGTACTAAGTCTTGTTATCATGCAATATAAGGATAGAACATGAGTTACGCATCAATCAAAATAAAGATACAACAACTGCAAATGTTATATTTATTTGAACATGACTCGTGTTGTGTATAGAAATTATCGTATTTTTTTAAACATTATTCGTAACAGATGATTTTATAAGAAACTTTAATTTTGTTTCTCACATTAGCAAATCTGCTAGATATTCTTCAAATTCCTCCTCTCTTGTTTTTTCCAGATTTTCAATTGGTTTTTCTTTCCAAATTTTAGATTCATCTTCATCTTTTTCTGTATCATCAATTGATTTCCCAACATTACTTGTACCTTTATCCTCTTCAATTTTAATTGGAACTGTTGATGTACTAGGCATACTACTGGGTGTTTCAGTATTTGTACCTAATCTCTTTAATGTTTTATGTTTCTTTGCTTCACGTTTTTGAGATCTATAATTCAACCTTATAGAACATTCAGGGCACAGTCCTTAAAGTGCATATCAATGATAAGCCTGTATTCCAAATGTAACAACTTAAACAAACTATAAAATGACTTACTTAATTTGACAAGAGCATTTTTTTTCTGATCATGCTCTATGTAACCAAAATTTACTTCCCAAGATTTAAGATCCTCCTTTTCTTTACATTTTTTATTTCCACATTCAAACTGTCCCTTACCAACGATAACTTCCTTCTCTGTTCTCCATCTTAAGGCAACCTATTTAATATTGACCTCCAGGATTTAATTTCAGAATACTTCATTATATATTGAAATGTATATTATAATCTACCTTATTTTGTTTGTAATATGTTAAGTCAGCTATACAGTATTCTTTAAACAATTTGTCATAATATTTCTTTGCCAAACGAGCACCCCATGTTTCTGGTTCATTATCTTGATCCCACAGAAATCTATGGTTTTCTCTAATAACGTCATAGTCAGTCTTATCTCGGGACCTCGAAACACAGGCCGAAACGTCAAGAACTGCTTGTTTTAGAGTTTACAAAGCTTTCATTTTTTTTAATTGTTTATTTCTATGTAATGCACATTTCTTTTAAATACCCTTCTAATATTAATATTTATAACATTTGGTAAGAATGCTTTTTTTACCAAACTTTCATATTTTGAATAAACGTAAGTTAACTTTAACTCACTAATTATGAAACGCCAATTTAATATATTAATAATACAATATGGTTATGATATCAAGTTATAACATATGAAAACCAATTAAAAAATTTAACATACGTATCCCGTTTCAAAGATGACACTGAACCTCCGTACAATGTGAAATAATCATTTATAAGTTTTTTGTGTCTGTCATAAGCTGACAAATAGGCATAAGCTGGAAACATGTTTCTTCTTAGCACAGACTGATTTTATTTCTAGTTCGATGTGTAACGATGAAGTATTAGTTAAAATGTACACGACACTACACGACACATATCAATCAAAAAAAATAAATGATAAGAAGAACAAATATTATTCCACTAAACATAAATATACAATTCACGTTCTCTTTTCAGAAAATACGTTGATATCAAAGATATTTGAAATTACTTAGATATATAGTACATACACATGTCTTTCTTACACTATTACGAAGTACTTTTAAAAATGGCGTCGCAGTGGAGAGTAGCGCCATTATAACAGATTCAACAATGAGAACAACTGAAATTCTATATATTTATAAATAAAAATTCCCAGAAATTTGAACACTACTTTATTGTGCGTTCTATATTATTTTAATACAACTTTGACTTGTTTTGTATTTTAATATTTCACGTAATTGAACATTAATTAAAGTAATTCAATGTTACGAATTTACATCACTTTATTATCATAACATTTTTTTATCGGCACATTTTATCATTCTATATTGAGCAATGTATTGTGGATATTTTTTACTGCATATCAAATACATTTCTCTTAAGTATAGTATTGCATTTCTTTTATAAGGAAAAGAAAATAAAAGTAGAATATACTAATATGTACATTTTTAAATTAATGATGTTTAAAATTATCAGTAAGAATAATGTAAGTAATTTTTCTGTAAAAAAGATGAGATCAATTAGTAACTTTGTAAAAGTAGTTGAAGTTGGACCTCGAGATGGATTACAAAATGAAAGAAATATTGTCCCAACCGAAGTCAAAGTTGAGTTCATTAACAAACTATCAGAAAGTGGATTAAAGAATATAGAAGTTACCAGTTTTGTGTCTCCAAAATGGGTTCCCCAAATGGCAGACAATGCAGAGGTGTACCAAAAGATTAATAAGAAACCAGATATTTCTTATTCAGCATTAGTACCAAACATAAAAGGCTTGAAAGCTGCATTGGAAGTAAATGTAAAAGAAATAGCTATCTTTTTGGCTGCATCTGAAACTTTTTCAAGGAAGAATATCAACTGTTCCATTGATGATAGTATGAAAAAAGCTAGAGCAGTTATTGAAGAAGCCTTAAAATATGATATTAAAGTCAGAGGATATATATCATGTATCATTGGTTGCCCTTACGAAGGTCAAATTCAAGCAACAGTTGTAGCCAATTTAGCTACATTCATGTTACAATGTGGATGCTATGAAATTTCTTTAGGAGATACTATTGGTGTAGGATCACCTAACAAAATAAACAATGTATTACATGAGTTGGGATATGTATCAAATGACATGCATGAATTTGCAATTCATTGTCATGATACTTACGGACAGGCACTAGTAAACATTTATGCTAGCCTTGAACATGGAATAAGAATTTTTGACTCATCTGTAGCTGGTCTAGGAGGTTGTCCATACGCAGTTGGAGCCTCTGGAAATATTGCTACGGAAGATCTACTCTATCTTTTACATGGACAGGGTTTAGAAACTGGAATAAATCTTAATGAAATAGTAAAAATAGGAGAATTTATCAGTAGTCAGCTTCAAAGACAAAATCAATCCAAAGCAGGTATTGCGATTCTAGCAAAAAAATGTTAAGACTGTAACTGTTTTAATAATACCTTGAAAAAAAAAATAGCAGAATAACGAAGAAAATGAATCTGTGAAGAAAAGCATGGATAGTAATGGAAGGATTCTATCTTATACTTATTAAATTTTAATGATCTTTTTTAATCTTGTATACACAATCCATAGAAATATGGCGCAACGATTGAACACACTACGATGTGTTACTTTCGCAACTAGCTATACATTCTTTGTGATATTAAGAACATACATATAAAGCTGATTTTATTTAAAAAAATACATTATAATACATGACAACGGAATGACACACAGTATTTGATTCACGTTTTACATAGAACCTATGTTACGAAATATTCGATAGTTCTTGTAATATAGCCTGTGTGTCTAATGTACTCAAATCTATCGATCCTCGAGTATCAATTACAACTCCAGTTACCTAAAAAATAATCATGTCATGACAAAACATTTAGAATCATAATTTTATTTAATTGAGCATTACCATTTCCTCAAAGAATGCAACATGATTAGGTTTCTCAGAATATCTTTCATATTGATCTAAATTATCTTGCAATTTTAAAGTAAGGCTATCATAATTTTGTATTATGATAGCTAAAATTTGTTGTTCTGTTGGAGTGGACAAACTTTCACTAGCTAACCACGCTGCTATTTTTGGTGGAAAATGATTTACTATGTCTCTCATATTCACCAAACAATTTGTCAATTTTAATGCATGTTCTTTATACTCATAAGATTCGCTTGTTGAATAACGGAGAGCTTGAACATATAAATAAAGTATTTTTATTATTAACTATTATATGACTAAAACAATAAAAAATATGAGTTTAAATTAAATTAAAGTAATATGAAAGATTTGTTTAATATATACCCATTGCATTCAAATTTGTGAAAATAAGCCTCATTCGTATTATTTCATAAAATAATTCATCATAACTGCTAGGGGAGGATAAGAATGTATCTCCGTACGTAATAAACAAATTTAAAATATTCACAACCTAAAAAAATCAAATTCATTTTTTAAATTTATACTTGATACGAAAATTAAATAAATCATTAATTTACCTGAATAGCTAATGGAAAAATATTCATTTTCTTAATAAGGTGGCTTTCATGAGTGGTTAAAAATTTGAGTAAATTAATTAGTGCAGTCCAAAGATCTCTCCATTGATATCCAAGCCTAACTCTACATCTTTTTTGGTAACAAAGCAACCTTTGTAGAACTCCAATACATTGATGATAAAGTTCCAATGGAAATTTTTTCATCATATGCGATGTAACAAATTCGACAAGTAAATCTACAATATTGTGATAATTATTTAAACGATTCAAACTTTAGTACTAGATACATATGACAATTATAAATACCAAGTAAGGTAGCTGCTAATGGTTGTGCTGGTGCTGCTTTATCTTGTATCTTTCTATGATGCATCGGTACTCGATGGAGTTGTACTCTAAATGCCAAATTTGCATCATGCATTAAACTGTTTGCATATTGATCCTCGGCAATACAACTTAATATGAGGAAGCACAATTTAACGTTATTCATTATTGCCTCTGTTCTGATCACCTGCATAACTATTGAACTGAAATAATTCAAGTTTCTTACAATAAAAAATACAACATATTTGCGCGTATTATTCTTTTTACAGCAATACTATGCTCCTCACCAATACTGTAAGAATGTGGCCAGCAAATTAAATGGCTGCGCCATCACGTCAGATAGTTGTGTTCCGGGAGCTACCGCATTTGGTCCCAATGTATTATTTGGAGAAGGTGGTGCACTAGTATCACTTTGTGTATATGCCAAAGTTGTTACAAAATTACGATTTAAATGTGTTGCTTCATAAAGTGCTAATAACAATGCATTATTTGCACGGACTTGTTGCGTTTTCGCTTCTTCTTCTCCAACGAACATACTTCCAACTATACTGGTTAAGGAAGATAACCAGGATGCTTGTATTTCTATATAACATGATTCTTAATTAATACATTTATAGTAAATGATTTGAAAATATAATTATGAATGTTCTATACCTGCTCTTTGTTGAACAAACTGTCTGCAAAAGTCCATCAATGAACTTGATATAACTTGCCCATAGCCATTAAGAGCTAATTCATCATCCAAAATCGATAACTTAACAATATAAGGATTTGCCCTTTCATGCTTTCTATAATTGACTAGAAGTGTTAAAAGCAATACTGCATCATGTCCGTGACGGCTTCTAGCTGTTGTATCTCTTAAAAGCTATATAAAGAGAAATAGAAAATATTAATGCTTAATGGGAATCATTGTCAACAATTATAGTAGTCATACTAAAGTAACACCTACTTGAACCAGAGATTCAAAAACACTATTAAGCATAACATATTCCAACAAAGTGTTCTGACTAACATTGTCCATGCCAGTTACAATAATTAACAACAATTTCAAGCACAAAGCTTTTAAACTATCAGGGTATTCACCTAGAATCATGGAAAATTTTAATAATCGGTTTGTTTCTTTTGAAAAACTGTAGATTATTTAAATGTTAAATGTATATTTGAATCTTTGATTTCTTAACATAAATGAATTAGTAATTACCTATCATGTATTAAAATGCACATACCTGTTAAGAAATTATTACAATGTTGCATTAATGTTGTCATCCTCTGTTCTGCAGAATCAAATCCTACTAAGATATCTATTAAATTAAATCCACAATCACCTTGACTAGCTTTTTTATACATGGACTGAATAACAGCTGCTAAAGTTTGTAAAGCATATACAACTCTGAAAGGATGTTCATCAACTAATGTATCTACACAATGGCAGACTAAAGCATTTAAGTTTTCTCTGCTTGCATTTAACTGTTCTGCAGTCATATGTAAAATTTCACTTTCAATATGTGGAACCTAAAAATATAGGAAGGAACATGTATTGTTAAAACAATTAAATACTGAATGTGAATTTAACCACAAGGTACTTAATGTAATGATTCATTTGTTTTTTCTTTGACAGAAAGGATTCATCAGAAAATTTGTTGTAAACAAGAAGTACTAAAGATTTTCATTTTATTTGATTTACTTAAAAACTTTTTTCCACTGAAAGAATGATATTCCAAACTTATGATTCCAGTATTTAAAAACTAACTTTTGGTTGTATAAATGTGTCTTAATACATCATGTTTGGTAAATTTGTTACAAAGTTAATACAAGTGAGTGTAAAAGCATGTTACAAATGTATATCTATAATTGAACAATATTGTTTGTATTTATTTAATGTTATAGTCATTGCCAACATGGGAAGTAACTAAATATTATGGGAGAGTATGTATATATCAATTAAAATGTTTAAAATATAGAGTTCAAACAAGTGAAGCATGGTTTAATTTCAAATGCAAATTTATGCCAGGTAGTTTGCATAAAGAAATAGAATGTGAGGATTATGTTGAACCCAAAGGTACATGTTAAAAATCAGAAATACATATTTTATTTTTTTCATAAAATTATCGATTTATAAACAATAACTACAAATAAATTTTTAGTTAGCAATAAGTCTAAACAACAGAAAGAACAACCAAAAGTGTCATCTGAGAGAGAATCACAAGATAAAGTTCAATATAATGCAAAGGATCATAAAAGCGTACCAACTTCACTCAAGGAATTAAAAGATAATTACATTATTGATGAATTAATAGATTCAGAAAAGAAAAAGCAAGGAAAGAAGAGATGTCAAGAAAATAACAAATATCCTATACATGAAGATTATGTGACAAAGAAAGAAAGAAAAGTACAATTTAATTATAATCTTTACTATTAATGAATTCTTCTTTTAATAAAAAATTTTAATTGCAGGTAAAACGTGCTCAATGATTTTCATGGTAGATTAGAAGAATTTTTAGTTTGGAACCTCTGCAACATTCTCTCAAAATTACAAAAAAATTTCAGAAATGTTTATCTTTTATTAATTGTATTTGTATATAATATTAAATAATGTTTAATATTTGAAAATAATGAAGATACTGACCATAGGTTTTATTAAGAACAATTCATTCCAAAAATTTGGATGAGCTAGTGTTAAATCCTCTCCTTTGAAAAAGCTTTCATAAATAGGTACAAGTTTTCCTTTATGTTGGCGTTTGGAGCCAGAACCGCTCCGTTTTCTCATAGCCATTGCCATAATTGATTATTCAATTTTTATCATTTCCTTTACCTAAAAAAATACATTGATTTCAATAATAATTATATTCAGAATTTATACAATCTTACAAATTTTAAATACATTGTTTTATATAATAATATATTGCTTTATTTAAAATTCGTAAATTCTTATCTTTCAATACACCTATACACCATACACCATACCTATAACCTCTATACTGAATTTTCAATGATTTTAAATGAATAAATAATACTTTGATAGATACAACATCTTTCAGATAAAAATATGTATCGCACGTTTTAAAATTGTAAAAATATATAACAATAAAAATCTTGGGAAGAGGGACATCAAGTATTTACTTACTAATAAAGCAGATAACTTCTTGATGTCATATAAGTAATTTCTGTATTATTTGAAAAAGCAGTACTAAAAGTATGTCTTTTTATGTATGTTTTAACTATTATTCTTGTTTATATAATTTTTGAAGGGTTTCATTGAGACGAGACTCTAAGTACTGAAAATGAAATAATGACGCAAATAATTACGAAAACATCCATGCACAAGAATGACAGGGAGCCATCATGGAATAAAAATTTGATATATACATAACATACACATCATGAACATATGTCCATGATACACATTATACTTGTTGTGATATCTCCGTTCGAAAACTTACATCTTAAAGATAAAATCAAGTTCATATATACATAATGATTTGCTTATATAAATCATTAACATATGGTTCCTTAACATACGATTAAATACGTAATCCATTATTACACACATATGTATACACGATTCATCTAATTTATGAGAAAATCTTCTGGTACTACTTGCATACTGTTGTGTCAACTATAAAATATAAAAATTTCGAATTATGATTTTACATTCGAGGATCTTAAATCATCTAAGAAATAGGTTCTTATTACTTTGAATTTCATTGTTATATTTTATAGTGATATAATAATATTTATATGTTAAGAATATTAATAATTCTATATAAATAAATAATAAACTAAAATTATCTTATTTTATAATGAAATAAAATATTATATAAATGTGATAAAAATATTAATTATTTTAGACCATTGTCATCAGCGACAAGTGTTTATATCCAGTACTATCTTGAACCATTTAGGCAATACTCATCTTATAAAGAACAGTATATTAAACAAAATAGAGTCAAATATAGTTCTTATGCAAAATATGCAGCATATATTACTGTTGCCACATCTATATTAGGTTTACATTATTACGTATTTTATAAAAAAGCTCAAGCTTTGGATAAGAAACCTACTTTATGTGGAGAGTTTAGAGCAGATTTAAAGACATACAATCTAGAAGAAGTAGGCAAACATGATAATAAACAAAATGGGATTTGGGTAACATTTAAACAAGGAGTATATGACATAACAGATTTTATTGAAAAACATCCAGGTGGTCCTTCTAAAATAATAATGGCAGCTGGCAGTTCAATCGAACCATTTTGGGCAATTTTTGCTAACCATAATACAGAAGAAATATATGAGCTCCTTGAATCAATGAGAATTGGAAACATATCTAAAGATGATGCAGCCTCTAATGCAATTAATGAAAATGATCCATATTCAAAAGAACCCATAAGGCACAAAGTTTTAAAGATAAATGGACAGAAACCCTTTTGTGCTGAACCACCACCTTCTTTATTGATAGAAAGTTTCATTACACCAATGTAAATTTGAATATAATTTTTAGAAATTTTATGTGTAAAAAAATTTACTTTTAAAATATTATTTCATTTTAGGGAAACATTTTATGTAAGAAATCATCTTCCTGTTCCTGAAATAGACTTGAAAACTTATAGTTTAGAATTAGCTATAGAAGAAGTAATAAAAAAGACTTTCAAATTTGAAGACATAAGGAAATATCCCAAGTACACAATAACAAGCGCTATAATGTGTGGAGGAAATAGAAGATCAGAAATGGCACAAGTGAGTTGATATATTCTCCCTCTTTTAAATAAGTATTTTTATATTTTTTATTACGCATTATATTTTTTTTAATTTATCACAGGAAAGACAATTGAGAGGACTTAGTTGGGGTGTAGGTGCTGTTGGTAATGCTACATGGACTGGTACAAGGCTATGTGATGTATTGAAAGATTTAGGAATTAATGAGGATAATTACAACCATATACAGGTATTAATGTATAAACGAAAAAGAAAGGTTTTTTAAATATTAAAAGTTATAAAAAAATATTTAGAAATATAAATAATTTCATGGAACAAGTTTGAAGGGTATGACTTAGATCCTTCTGGTACACCATATGGTGCAAGTATACCCATTAGCAAAGCTATGGACCCTAGAGCAGATATAATTTTAGCTTATGAAATGAATGGGCAACCAATACCAAGAGATCATGGTTTTCCTGTTAGAGTAATTGTGCCAGGTGTTGTGGGTGCTAGGAATGTAAAATGGCTTGGTACTGAGTAATAAATATTATAATCAAACAATTTAATTAATAATTTTGTAAGCCCTTCTGTAATTTTTATAGCCAGAATAATTGTTTCAAAAGAAGAAAGCCCATCACAATGGCAACAAGGTGACTATAAAGGTTTCTCTCCCAGTACCGATTGGGATAATGTAGATTTTTCTAAGGCACCTGCTATACAGGAAATGCCTGTGATTTCTGCAATTTGCAAACCAGAACATGCAGAAACAATCAAAGTGGTAAATGGAAAGATAAATGTGAAGGGTAAAGTATAGTTTTTAAGATTTCACTTATCTTTACAACACTAATATTATAATTATACCTTGACCAAAACGTTTTTGCAGGATATGCTTGGTCAGGAGGGGGTCGAAAAATCATCCGGGTTGACATAACAAATAACCAAGGTAAAACTTGGTATACGGCTGATTTAAATGCAGAAGATAAGAACGCTAAAGAAGGTCGATATTGGAGCTGGACATTGTGGAGTATAGATCTCCCTGTTAAAGAGGGAAGTAAAGAAATAGAAATTTGGGCAAAAGCTGTAGATGCGTCATATAATGTCCAACCGGAAAGTTTCAAAAATATCTGGAATTTACGAGGTTTTGTTTGTAATGCATATCACAGAGTTAAAGTTAAATTAGAACACTAGAGTTACTTAGAGAACTTATAATAACAACTCAATACACTAAAAATTTTTGTATTTAGTGAGAAATAAATAACAATTTCTTTTCACTAGAGAACATGTATTTATAATAAATGCACTTGTTACAATAGTACAATGTATTTAATATTTTTAAATTTTTATACCTTCTTTATTGAAATAACTAGATATGTCATCCAAAGGTATTTGACAATTTGTCGAACTATTTATATCATGAATTTCAATCAAAGGTGGAGATTGTATTGCGGATTTACCAATTATAACAACATATGGGAATCCTGTTATGCGGGCGTGCATAAGACGATTTCCAATACTTAAGTGTGTTCTATCATCAAGTATAATATCAGTATTTAATGGAGTTAAGACCTCCATTATGTCTTTCACATATTGTAATGCGCTTTCTTCCTTGCTACCTCCCTGTAAATTATAATGAGTTTTTAGTATTTATTGTTTATAAAAAATATTGTATAGTGTATACCTTTGGTGGTATAATGCAAATAGTATATGGTGCTAAATTTTTTGGCCATCGTAATTCTTTTTTGGTAGATAATAATTCAGTCATGACTGTAAAAATACGACTCAAACCAAGTCCATAACAACCCATTACTAAGGGTTTTCTTTCCTTGTTTGTCTTCAATATTACATTTAAAGGTATTGTATACTTTGTATCTAATAGAAATGTATGTCCCACCTTGAATAAAAATTAATCATTTATTACAGAATCTTAGATTAGTTCAAAAATTAATTTTTCCCATCACCTCAGCAGTTCTATTTTGCTCAAATACACTCCCACATTCTGGACATTGTGATTTCTTGCACATTACTTTATTAATGCTGTACTGACAAGATAAGCATGTATAAACATTATCTTCACCAATACTACTTATATAATGATATTCATGAGACATTGAACCTCCAATTGTTCCTGGATCACCAATAGCTGCAAATATGAATAATATTAATAAAAGAAACATGAAATTGCATTATTTATTTCACTACCTTTTACATATGTTATTCCTATTTTCTTAAATATATTCTCATAAGCTTCACATACTAGTGCATATGTTTCTTTTGCTCTGTCCAAATCTATATCAAACGTGTACAGATCTTTCATGATAAATTCTCTACTTCTCAAGAATCCCAATTTTGGTTTTATTTCGTCCCTCCATTTGTTAGAAATTTGATATAATTTTAAGGGATACCTTTTTGGTGATAATGATCCTACTGATGACACCATAAAACAAATTGCTTCTTCATGTGTCTTTAGAGATATGACAAATTTATTGAATTATTTTTTATTCTTCAACTTATTGATCTACTATCTGATATCTTCAATAATGATACATACTGGACTGAGTACATATTCCCTCTGAGATCTGTCTCGTAATTTGAAGAATTCATTCATATTATCATCAAACCTATTTGATTTTCTCCATAATTGTGTGGATGTTAAAGCTGGAAGTAATAACTTTTGAGCTCCAATCTTTTCCATTTCGGTATCAACGAGTGCTATTAATTTATTTAAAACGCGTAAGCCTAAGGGTAGAAATGCATACATTCCATTGGCAATTTGTTTGATCAACCCATATTTAACTAAGTTCTGCAATTAATGATATAAAAAATATACATTATAATTAATAAATATCGAACAATACAAATAAAAACAAACGATGAAATAGAAAGAGTACTTCGTAGCTTTTCGAAGGGGGATCTATTTTTTTATTGGTGGCGATCGTAGATGTAGTCGGTTGAAATAAATGCGATAATTTGTTTATATTACGAATCGGTAAACTTGACATGTTGAAATAGTCTTGGATAAAATATTGTAGCTAAATGCACACACAATACACTAGAATAAGTGTATCTTACCAACTGGCCTCTGATTTTACGCCCTACACATTCGCATCAACTACGTACATTCGCGTCAACTACACATATTCTTGGTTGATGTTTTTAGGTCCAGTGATATACGGTTCGTGGATACACTAATCATGTTCGTAATAATGGTTAGAAAATTAGAAACGGACTAAACAATCTAAAGAATGACAGATAGATTCTCTCAAATTTTTCAACTTTTAGATTATTTTCTTTGATTTTAATTTCTTTCTCCACGATTGTTGCTTAATGCTGTAATCGCAAGTTTGTTGTCAGTTTGAGAAAATTTCTCAACTTCTATAGTTTTCGTCAGAAAATGTAACACAACGAAATAGGGTCAAGTTGATCCGAAACAAATGGAATTTACAGTTGGTGAAATGGAGGGAAAGAAATTGGAATTATCTTTCCAGGACAAAATCTTTTCTGAAAATGTCAATCAGGCCGATTCCAGTGTAAAATCAGATGTTTCGATTGCAGAAGGTACGATTTGAGGAGTTCTGTTTAACGAAAATTTAATATAAATTATTTTTCGAGTTGCTTAAATAAAAATATTTCAAATGGCAACTGTTTAAAATTTTTAATATTGCTTCTTTGATTAACATTTTTAGATATTAATCCTATAACTCAACAAGATATAAAAATACATGAAGAAATAATGCCAATTCATGAGGAGTTTGTACAAGACAGCACTGATGAAATTAGAGGAGATTCAGTATTAATAAAGAACAGTGATGAAAAGAAATATCAATTGATAGAGAGAAACAATATTGACACAACTGTAAAAAGTTCCACTTCTTTAAGTAATTTCACAAGTGAGTTTATAAAATGTCAAACATCTGTTGATACAATCCTTTCACAAGAAAAGTGTCTTCAGAAATCATCTTCCTGTAATGATATTAAATTATCTTCAACGACATTATATGATACATTGTTATGTACATCTTCAGATACAATTTCTAATCATAATGTAAGGTCTATATCACCAAATACAATATGTAATGATGAAGAAGAAATAATTTTTAACAATAAATTGTATATGGAGGAACATGAAACAAAATCGTTGAAAAATATTGTTGGTGTAGACACACATGAAAACTGTGGAGTTAAAGAAAATATTGGAGAAACGGAAGAAGAAGTATATCATCCTAATGCAAATGGAAAATTACTAGTAAATAATGGTCAAGCTCCAAGAAGTTTAGTTAAATATGAAAAGAATTTTAATGAAGAACAAAAACTATGTGAAATTATCAAGGATACTAAGATACAGAGCAATGTAATATCTAGACCAACTTTGGTCGATGATAGCAGATTGGTGAAAATTTCACTGCCAACAAATCCAATTAATATAATGCAATCAAATGCTCAGTTTCTAAACAAAAGTCGTAACTTTTTAAATTTTATTACAGAAAAATCTACAAACATCATGGAAAAAGCACTGTTACCACAACATATAGCAATGAGATATAATTCAGTAATGAAATCTGTAGATAATATTTGTAATGAGAAAAGATATACAGAAGAATCTTCTGGCATGGAATCCTCTTTGACAGGATCAGCATTCAATAATACATCAGATTCGTTTTTAAAAACAAAAAGTATTTCTTATGTAACAAAAGGTCAAATGGATGTGCAAACTGTAGAAAATGAATATGTAAAAAATGATGAAAATAAAAACACTTTCATGTTAAGTTCGAATGAAACTATAAGTGGAAATATTGAACAAAATAGTAAATATTTAATTACAAATGAATACATCTCTGATCAAAATAATGTCATTGATCATTCCCCTAAATTAAAAGATTCAAAACAATCAGAATCCTCTTCCATCAGTAACAATGTTAATAAAACAAATGATAATGTACTTTGTGCAAATACAAGTAGGAATCACAATCTTAATTTTGTGGTATTAAATCCTGGAGGCAACAATATAGAGGAAGCTATTACTGATACAATATATAAAAAAGGAGAAGCAAGTGCTGATTTTGAAGAATCAAAACAGAGTTTGTTGCAACATCCAGTTTATCTTACTTTATTAAAAGACTACGCAGATTTAAAATCTAAGCACTTGAAGCTACAGGAAAAAGTTGAACACCTGGAAGAAAGGAATCGAATTTTGGAAGCAGAAAACAAAGGAGAGATCTTTTCTGTGCAAATAGAAACATTAGAAAAGACAATAAATAGACTTACACTTGAATTGCACACATCATTAGAAGCACAGGAAATGTATAAAAAAGAGTACAGTGCTGCAAATAAAGAAAGGGAAAGCATGGTAATGAAATACGCAGTTAGTGAGAAACAACTTATTGATACACAAAGGTACATCAAATTTGTATAGCTTTTATCAATATATTTTATAATTATTTAATATCTCCTTTTTTTATCTTACTGTCATTAGAGCGAAGGAATCTGCAGAACGTAAAGTAAAAGAAATGACAATGCAACAAGAGACACTGCATAGTAAACTACGAGAAATGCAAGGGGAACGAGGTAGAATATGTAATATTCTAACTGGAAAACATCGTGAGGTAACTGATCTTCAGAGAGAAGTTGAAAAATTAAAGGAAGATGTAAAGATGAGGGATATAAAGTTACAATGGACTCAGAACAAATTGAAAACAGAAATGGATTTGCAGAAGGAAACTCAACAAAAATTAGACAAAGCCACGGTAATAACGCTAAGGGAAGGTAGTTTATTGTTTTGTATGTAATTTTATATCAGTTTTGTTTTTTTTTTTTTGTAGATCAGGATCAACGAAATGAAGGAAGAATGCGAACAAGTCCGCAAAGAAACACAAGAAACAATGCGAAAATTTCAACAATCGGAAGAGAATAAAGCAGTTACATTAGATCAGCAATTGAAGGAACAACAGGCACGTTTAATTTTAGAAAGACACGTTACTGAGGATAAAGAAATGTTGAGGATTCAATTACAAAAGGAAGTAGATACATTGAAACACAGACAACAAGTTCTAATTGAAGAAAACAACACGCTCAGTTTAAAGATACAGGATGTTGAAAAGAACCGCTTAAATTATGAAAGTAATCTGAATAATTTGAAAATTATAACAGATCAACGTCAAAAAGAAATTACAGAACTACTAAGTAAAGTATCTGAGTTAGAATCATTGAAGACTCAGCTTCAACAGTGGGTATCACTCTTTTAAAGTTATGATTTTAGCTTGTTTTATGTTTATCTTATTAGTAATTTGTTTCTCTTTTTAACATAGCAAAAATCAATACTTAGCATCAACGGAAGTAGAGATCCAACATTTACGTTTGGCTAATGAAGAATTACAGGCTGATATGTCTGCGTGCCAACAGAAAGAAGCAGAGATGCTGGACTTCACGCAAAAATTGACTGATAAAAATGTACGGCTACAATCGGAGTTTACAGCCATTGAAGCCAAAGCAAAACAATTAGAACAAGAGCATGGACCATTATATCAAAGTATAAGTGAATTAACTGATAAAGTAAAAGCACTGGAAGAAAATCTTGCTCGAGAAAAGAAAGCGAGAATCGAAGAAAGTGAAGTTTTAGAAAGGTGTCTTACGGAACAAACGCAGGCAGCGAAAAATCTTGCTCAGCAATTGGAAGATAGTCAAGGAGAAAATGCGGTGTTAAAGAGGAAACAACAACTAAGTATGAAGGAAATGACGCGTGAACTTCAACAATGTCGGAAAAAATTAGATGCGTTCGAAACGTCAATACCTTATAATTCGTTGAGTGTTGCATCTAGAACTGGATCAAATATTTCATTAAATACAGGTTTTTAAATACGAGATTTAAATATTTATACATGTTTTGACATGTTATTGTGTTGATATTTATTATTATTGTTACTTTATTTTTTATTATTATTTTAGGAGATGCTTTAAATGGTGCCTTATCCGATAACAGTATCAATGGTGACCAAAGTATTCAACCTACAGAGCCTAGTAGACAATTGTTAATAGATCGTATTATAAAGTTACAAGAGAGTAATGCTAGGAAAGCAGAAAAACTAGATTTTTTTGAGGAACACACTCGAATATTAGTTGAAGAATTGCAGAAGAAAAAGAAAATCATACAAACTTATATTTTACATGAGAATATTGGTGCCATGGGTGGCAATGAGAGAGATAAATATAAGGTAAATTTCATCTTTAGACTTTTGAATCTTATAGATGCAGTGGAACTCCATTTATATGAACGAAATTTTAGTAGTGTCTGATTAACTGAACTTTAGCTATGTGGCACACTCTCATATTTTGTGATATATTCTCACATTATTATGTATTTAACAACAAATGTTTTGTGGAATCTTTTTATATGAACATGAATTCTTATTAACTGTATGAAAAATCATAGTGAACAAAAATAGGGCATTTCCTATTATATGAACGACCTGATTATGTGGACTAATTTGTTCCCAACAGGTTTATATAAACGGAGTTATACTACATTATAAATATTATGAATTTTATATTATATTATATTTCACTTTTTATGTACAAGCATATCAAGAGTAGGAGAAATGCAGTAAGTTTAACAAGAAAAATTTAAACTATCATTGTAACTTTCGTGGTAATTTATAAATCTAAATAATTATAAGTTTCGTTTAGTTTTAATTGTTATTGGATTACAGGCTGAATTAGCAAGACATGGAGGAATAATGGCCTCTGTCTACAATCAACGAGTCTCGGATGATAATATGACTCTTGAATTATCATTAGAAATAAATCAAAAACTCCAAGCGGTTCTCGAAGATGCATTATTTAAGAATATTACTCTAAAGGTAAACGTAAATATGTAAAACATATATCTATAAATGAACTTGCTATTCTAACTCATTGTTATCCTTTTAGGATAACATCGATACTCTCGGTGAAGAAATAGCAAGGTTAACGATGCAGAACCAACAAAGGCAAAATACACACTAAAAGTATATTAGGACAACATACTTGTACTTATATTGTAAAGATAACGAAATATCAAATGCATGTGTTAAAAACGCGGAGATAGGCAAATTATCGATTAAGAAACTTGGTATATATATACATATACTAATATTAACTTTAATGTCTTATACTGAATATACATAAAGTTACATTTTTTTCTATAAAATACAC